GAGAGATGGTTTGAATAACGAGACTATGGATAATTCTGACTTTTCATTTAACAACTTTTGGGTATTATTATTACTGTTTAAGACAGAGTCTTTTATGTAGCCCAGGCTGTCTTAGAACTCTAGGTCTTCCTGAGTGTTGGGATTACAGGTACTTGGTACCACACCTGGTTTATTTTTCACTATTTTCAATTTTAAGACTGCACAAGTAGACTCAAATCCTCCGTTCTCCTCACACGCCACCCCATTACCTGAGGCCAGCAATCGGCCCCAGCCCTTGTTATTTCCCAGCATTCATCCTCGCTCTGGAATTACCCTGGGCAGGACCTCTGGGACAGGTCTCCTGGGCACTGTAATTTCCCTGGCTGCAGTGTGTCATTAGCCTTGGTGCTGATGGCATGACGCCTGTGTGAAGCAAAGATTACAGCCCCTGCTGGGACGGGATAGGACAGTCTGGTCTTGGAGCAGCCCTCTCTGGCAGAGATCCACCCCCCCCCCCACACACACACACACTCCTGTAGCCACAGGCATCTCCAGTCTCTGTCTGGGGCTCAAGACCTACATAGTAAGACTTGGACTGTAACAGGGTATCCCCTCTCTCCCTGTGGGTCTCTCATGAGCCTCCACATCCTCATCTGTAACATGGGCAAGTGACAGCATTCTCTTAAGAACCACACAAGATAACTTGCAGAATCTCTCTTATACACAGTGCTCTGTAAATACAAGATGTTTGTCTGCTTGTTTTTATTACTACCATATGTGTGCCCGTGATGTGCGTATATGTGTGCAGGACGGAGGAAGACAACTTTCGGGAGTCAGTTCTCTCATTCTGCCTTCTGTGGGTACGAGGATCAAATTTAGAGCATCAGGTTTGCATGGTGACCTAGTTAGGGTCACTATTGCTGTGATGAAACACCATAGCCGAAGCAACTTGGGGAGGAAAGGACATATTTGGTTTACATTTCCACGTTTCTGTTCATCATTGAAGGAAGTCAGGACAGGAACTCAAATAGAACAGGAACCTGGAGGCAGGAGCTGAGAAAGAGGCCATGGAAGGGGTGCTGCTTACTGGCTTGCTCCTCATGGCTTGCTCAGCCTGCTTTCTTATAGAACCCAGGAATACCAGTCTAGGAATGGCACCACCCACCATGGTCTGGGTCCTCCCCCATCAATCACTGATTAAGGAAATGCCCTACAGCCCAATCTTATGGAGACATTTTCTTAACTGAAGTTCCCTTCTCTCCGATGACTACAGCTTGCATCAAATTGACATAAAACTACCCAGCACAATCGACACCTTGCTACCTTGACAAACACATCACTATGAAGCCACAGCCTTTCCTTTCTTGTTTATCCCTAAGATCACCCATTAATATAAGCATCACAATGTAAAACATTTTACAGACTTAAAAAGTCCCCCAACCTTACAAATTCAAATGCTGCCCATGGCAAACACTCTTACCCACTGAGCCATCTTTCCAGCCCCTAGGCTGTTCTTATTGTGACTCTTCTGGCGTTTATTATCACCCCAAAAGGAGAGCTTTTCATTCACCTTTTGGGACGAAAATAACAAGAATAACCTCTTTGTTTCGTTAAGTGTCTAAAAGTAAGCAAATCCCCACTGTTCTTGAGAAATCTGGCTGGAATGTGAATGCCTCTCCCCCCACCCCTCCCCCGGGAAAATTAGTCACTGAACGTGGATTCATTCATCCAAGCAGAGTGTGCAGTGTCTACTACGTGCTGGGTATCATTCTAAATACTGGGGAGCTTCCACTAGAACAGCAGACAAAATGCACACACAGTCCAACACATTTGATGTCAATACTGCCAAGAAAAATCAGCAGGGTAAGACAGAGGAGGGGCTGGGACACCTGGTGACAGTTTTAATCTTTGTGCTCCGCGGGGCCAGAGCTCTGCTCACACTTGCCAGTGGAGTGCCCACAGAAGAAGAGAAACTGCCAAGTCTGGGGCCACCATCTACCCTAACGCTCAGAAACAAGGAAGCATTCGCCACGCATCTGGTCTCCCTTCCTCCCAGAGGTTTCACAAAAAACGGCAGCCCCGGGTCTGTCTTCAGCTTTTGGTCTTCATGAAAGAATGACGAAGCTGGCGTGTGTGTGCCCGGCTCTCAAAGACCCAGACAGGCGGGTATGAACTTTAAAAGAGGCTCCTGGCTGAGGCTTTGTGGGTTTGATAGTCACTACGTAGATCCCAAAGTGGGCTCAGCCTGTCCCCATAGAGGCAGTGTGCGCTCCCCTAGCCCTCCCCGCCCCGCCCATCACTAAATCATCACTGAATTAATCAAAGAGCTTGCACTGGTCCGAACTCACCAGAAGCCTCCTCCAGCGGCCACTTTGTGTTCAGTAGATTAATTGCAGCTGGGGGAGGGGAAGGAATCCATTTTTAGAAAATCATTACTTTCAGAAAGAGGGGGGGGGGGGCACTTCTGGCTGAGGGAAAAGTGCTGAGCTGGCAGCTTGGGCCTGCTGCTCCAGCGCCAGGAAACGGGGACTGTACTATGCAGGCTGCTCCCTTGTGCAGCCTTGAATCCACACTGTCTGAAGCCAGGCCACCCTGGCTTTCAAGCCATGGCTTCTGTCGGCCTTGCTTCCTGCCTGGCCTATATGCAACAGTTTGATGGCATCCCAAACAGAAGGGATCTCCCCAGTATTGACCTTCCCTCCCCACACTGTCCTTTACCGTCTTCTCTCAGCTCCCTTGTTGTGCATACCCCCCTGAGGACAGTCAGGCCCTGTCTGCAGCTTTAGAGAATGATGAAGGGTGGGGACTTTTCATCTCCACTCCCTCCAACCGATCATTCAATAGATTTAACTGAATGAAACTGCTGTATCTGTTCATCAAAGTCAGCTGTCCCACGGGGTCCAGTCAGCTCTTTGCATCTGTTTTCTCAGTCATCCACACCGTGGCCCCACGAGGCAGGTAGGATGTCCGCCGTTTCAGACACCCGCAGAAGGGCTGGGTGACTCATGCAAACATGTGCACAAACCCAACCTCACTTTATTCCTCAGCCTGTAACTGTGAGCCATGACCTATTTCTTATCACATCTTATACCCTACATGCCTGCAACACATCTAGAATGAGAGAGGACTTCTGCTTTCTTGGAACAATCCAGAACACACAGACCAACAAAGAAGCCCCTCTGTGCTGTGCCACCCCGGTGCCAATCAGACTCAGGTGCAAGCTGTATAGGGGAGGGTGGTGGGGCAAACCATTTACCTCCCGAATACTCTTTCTGGGTCAGAAAAATCAGCCAGCATCCTCTTCGGTGTGGCATGGTCTTGGGAGAGTCCTTGGTCAATAAACATTGCAAATCCCGGGCACTGGGCTTGAGCAGTCAAATGGGTTCTGTCCTTTCAAGCCGGAATTTACTTAGGAAAACACACACACCTGCCCTGAGCACCTTAACCCTGCCATACCCAGCATAACCTTAGCTAGCATGTTAAGTCAGACCTAAACCATCCAGTGGGGTAACCTCAAGAAGTTGCCTGATGTACAAATGGGGGTGATGGTGTGTAGCTAGAGGTTGTAGGGACTGTATGGGACAATCCTCAGGTAAAACATCAGAACACTGCCCAGCAAGGGCAGAACCCAACCGAATAGTCTCATTCTCAGGCTATATTGGGGCTAACACAACTTTGCCACTCCCCCACCTCCAGGCCAGATCATGCCTTCAAGTGAGGCTGGAAGGCAGGGTATTGACATCTGTGTCCTGGGCACAGACTTAACAGCCTCCCTTCCCCTCTAGAATCCATACTCCATAACCAATTCCAGCCTCCTCCGAGAGGCCAGTGTCTGCCTCCCCAGTTCAGAGGCTCTTCTCCCACAATACAGCCAGGGAAGTGAATTTGGGGACTCTGGCCACACAGGATTGCATTGTGTAAACACCTTGCCAGTTAGCTCCCTCAGCTTCTCAACAGCTCCGCTCTTACACAGGGTCCTGAGGGAAACTGGACAGTTAATTACCCCACGTCAGTGGTTCTCAACCTTCCTAATGCTTCCTATTAAGAGGTCTTCACGCTGTGGTGACCCCCAACCATAAAATTATTTCATTGCTACTTCCTAATTTTTGCACTGTTATGAATCATAATGTAAGTATCTCATATACAGGATATGTGTTATGTAACCCCCTAAAGTGGTCATGACCCATAGGTTGAGAACAGCTGCCCTACGTGGTTACTACTACGCCTGCTTTCTACTGAAGCTTTTAGTATTTAAGGTGAGTATTGGGGAGCAGAGAAATGGCTCCTCAGTTTGCTGCCCTCTTAGAGGCCCTACATTCAGTTCCCAGCATCAACCCACACGGCAGCTAATACCTAAACTCTAGTTCTAGAGGAATCTAAGACTCTTCTGACCTCCGCGGATACAATGCACCTATGTAGTATACATAGGCTGAATCTAACCTAAAACATGGACAAAAATCTCAGGTTGGCTTATGCCAAGGACTTAGGAGATCTCATAGCAGGAGCCCCAGATGAGCTGGACCTGAGGCCTAGAGAACTGACCAGTCATCCACAGCTAAGAGTGAAGCTTGGATTCAGTCATTGAGAGGGAAGGAGGGAGGCTTCATCCCTCGACCGCTATGGGACACTTAACCTCTATCACTTCCTGGGGCCCCGGTGCCCAGGAAATCTGGAATTTTGGCAAATTGCTGAGAAAGATACACTGGCTCAGTGTTGGAATTACCGAGAACCAAGGGAACCTAGCTTTTGAGGATGTACCTGCTCTTCTGCCACTGACCCCACCTTCCCAGCTGACACACCCCTTCTCCCCAATTCCAACTTCCAAAACCTCTAGCCATTTTCCAATACACAATCAAGAAACTTGGAACCACACTACAGGATCCCTGGAGGAGGGTGGTCTTCGATCTGGGAACTGCTACCAGGAGCCTTCACTCCCTGGCCCATTCACCTTGGCCTCCACTGGTGAACCCCCCAGCCTCCCTCCCAGCAAAAGAAGCAGCTGAACAACATGGGATGAAGTATACATTTTAAAAACTGTTTAATGGAACATAAACTCCTTTAGAAAAACATTCAGCTGGGTGATGACACCCATAGAAAAAACACCCATCTTGTGTTTATCTCTTTTTTAATTTGGCATGTTATTTGCATTTATATTAAAGCAAAGTGCATCTTCTCTTTATTTTCCTTGTTTATACACATTGCACAATACATAAATAATGATGCTTATAAAACGTCTTTATATTTACAAGTAATAATATATTTATATATAACATAAAATACATTTTTTCTTTAATAAATCTCAGCTTTTTTTTAAGGAGTCCTTTCTCTCTCAAAGCACTACAATGCTAAATTTCCAATGAGAATGCTTCTCTTGTTCACTTAAACCTTTGTAGTTAGAAAAATAGCTTATGTTGAAGTCTAAACGTGCTCATTGAGCTAAGAACAGTGTCAAAGTTATCATACGAGTGTATGAGTTGAGAGAAGAGCTGGGAGTCAGCCTAGGATGGTACCTTCTGTTATGGCAGGGCCACACCCTTCTCAGTGGGAAGGGGGGCCACTGAGCAGTTCCCTCCGAGATGCCCCTCGCTGGTCTACAGAGCTCAGCACACAGGCTGGGGGATGGGGTGCTGAGCTGACTTTCCACACCTGGGGGAACCTGATGAAAAACCACAGTGGGGGAACCAGCTGAGGGCCCCCACCCCCACCCTGAGGGTCCTGGGTTAGCAATACTGTGTCCGGGCTGTCCCTGCAGCCCTTGGGAAGCCCATCTCAAGAAAGAGATCCAGGAGCAGATGGCCAAAAAAGACAGACATGACAATGGCAGCGGGTGACAGGAGGCAGTAAGACAGGGATGAAAACGATTGGTTCAGCCTCTAGCAGGCTGGCTTCTCAGAAGCCTGTGGATAGGCCCGAGTCCTAAAAGGGGGGAGGCAGGGCAGGGGCTTCGGCAGGCTGAGGCAAACCTTGGCAGCTGCTGGGACACCTGCTGCCAGTCTGCCCAGGTACTGACTCTGCCCCACTGAGCATGTCCAAAGGGCACACAGCTTGAAACTGCGGTCTCTCAGCTGGGGACATCCATCCATAAGGAACACAAAAAGCATTTCCCCCATCTGCCGTTCACGCACACCCCTACACGCTCGGGGACGTCCACTCTGAAGGGAAGGCAGTACCCACTACTTTCATATACCATGTTTGGCAGTGCTGACTTTTGCTTCCCATTTTTATATTGGGGTATCCTGTCAACCACACCCACCACCTCAAAAAAAAAAACAAAAAACAAAAAACAAACAAATTCATCATAAGCTATTTCTCAAAGAACAAGACAAACAAAACACAAATAAGAACAAGAAGGAAAAAAAAAAAACAAAAAACAAACAAAACAACCAACAATGGTTAACAGCAAAACTGACCAAAGGGTTTGCATGAAAAGCAAGCACTCGGGAGGGAAAGGTTAGCAGCAAGTAGTTTGAATGGTGGCCTGCTCGGCTCACGCTCCATCCTGTCCTCTTCTCCCCGCGCGCAACTACCGGCTGTTGAAGATGACCTCCAGCCAGCACGGGCAGCTGCTGATGAACTGGCGGGTGTAGCACTGGCCCCAGCCCTTCACGAAGCTAATCTGCACGGTGAAGCCCGTCCATGGCTGCTGCATGAACTCGTGGTCATTGGGCCGCTGCAGGCTGTAAGCTTTCTCATAGTCGAAAGCCTTGATGGAGAAACCAGGGAACACCTTGTGCACCAGCAGCGTTCTGGAGTCCGGGTTGTCCAGTGTGGCGGACTTGATGAAGATGGGGTAACTGCTGCGGTTGTACACCCACACACCATCCACTTCCCTCGTCAGCTGGATGCCGCAACCAATCTTGCGCCGTACTTTCTGCACCAGCTGACTCTTGTTATCCGAACTGAGCTGTCCGAGGCAAAAGCCATTCCCCTGAGGTAGATCATAGAAGATATCCAGGGAGGGCTCTTGGACACAGTAGAGCCTCCCCACTCGCGTCTTCTCCTCCCAGTACGCCACCACGCACCAGTGTGACCGATCCCCAGGTTCCAGAAGAAGTTGGGAATCTACAAAACAAAATGGCGGACTTAGTTGGTGGTGATGGTGACCAGGTTCTTTTCCCTCCTAAAATCAAAACACATAAACACGTTTGTACGCCTGCTGGAGTCCCCATAACCAGTGAAAACAAAAAGAGGGGGTAAGGGTAAGCCTGGACTCAACCTAGGCTCTGTGATGCTAATGGGGGAAGCCTAAGACATCTTAAACCACTTTTGAGCATATGGGGGGGGCTTACTACTGTTGTCCTCTCTCTCTCCATCTAATCAACTCCACAGCATCAGCACCTGGGCCTACTTATCTCCGTGAGACACAGATCCCGAGACCCTCGCCAACTTATTTTTTGCTGTGTTGAGCTGGAAAAGGCCTCAGCAATAGCCTAGAATCGCATCCCGTGGATGGAACCTTGAGCGACAGCCTCTCTAGGGTGAGGGAAGCTGGCCTACTGGGTGGTGACCCAGTCACACTGAGAAGCCAGGCAGCCTGCACCCTCTGCAGCTGGCCAGTCATCCAATTCTCACATCAGTGCCTGGTTGAAAAGGAAGAGCCAGCTGGTAAAAATAAAGATGTGGGTGGCTCTGGGGGCTTTAAGAGAAAAAAAGTCATCTTCCCCAACAGAAACCAACTCTCTGCGTGTGTGACGGCAGCAACCCGTACAAAAGAGAAGCTCAAGTTCAGATGCCAAATTACAGCATGCATGTGGGCATCAGCCTAGACCACTGCCGGTCCAGACAGAAGATGCTGTGTCTGAAATAAATGTGACCATCCTGTGGTCCTTCTCTGCCGTCCGCTGTCCCTGGAGATGCCTCCCCCACTCCATTTTGACCCTGCACGGCTCACGCTGCCTCTTGTGGATTCCACCTGCCCCCTCCCTGACTTGCAAGTCCACCCTGGCACAGCCCACGACAGCCTCGAAGCCTGGGGTGAAGCTGCCAAGATGATTTTCCTAAACAACTGTTCTGAGACCTTTAAAAGGGGGGCTAGGTGAGGAAAGTCCCTCCCCCTGCACCGCCATCCTGCTACCTCCCTTAACTCTAGCCCAGAGAACAGGCCTCAGACTGAGGACTATAAATCTCCCCAGCCCCGCCAGGCTGCAGGAACGCTGTGGTTTGTGGCAGCAGGGTGGAGACCGGAAGTCTTTGTATTTGTTAACAGAAATGGGGAAAGGCAAGAGGGGAAGGCGCGGGGGATGGGGACACCAAGGCAGAACTGGAAGCCTCCTGCCTCTCTCCCACTCTGGTAGGTAGGTTCGGTGGGCCCTGAAGATGGAGCTATGGGGGGGGGGGTGTCCTTGTGTGTCCTTTGTTTCTGGGTTCAGAGGGATGAGTGCTGTCCCCATGCAGGGGCAGGACCAACAGGACTCAGCCTTGTTGGTAACCCAGGGCAGCCTGGAACATCAATCCATTCCAACTTTTATAGGCATGTGGCATGTCAGGACCTGGTATCCAGGCAGCTCCGTTGCCTTTTTTTTTTTTTTAAAGCAGCAGTCGGGTTTGGATGGGACATCCCATGCGCGAGTCTGTATATTTGTGCAGACTGGAACCCACAAGGTAGCCTCATACATACAAATCCTGAGCGGCTGTCCTCAGCTACACCCCCAACACAACACTGGCCTCCCCAATCCATGCCCAGTTCACACACAAAGGGGGTGCCAAGACCGAGGAAGTGGTGGATTCCTACCCCTGAATCACAAACCTGCACTGTCCCCTGCCCCCACTGCCATGAACCCACCGCCCCCCCCCCAAGTACACAAGACTGCACGTGCATCCGAGTGTGTGTATACGGAGTGTCTGTGCCTGCACACACACTAAAACATAGGAAAAACAAGAGAGGGACGAGGGCTCCGCGCAGAAGGTGACTCATCAGGCGTTAACTTGTTCCTGCAAAGGATCCATCAACTGCTAATAAACTCGTGAGCGCTGGCAATCTTTGAACTTTCTTGCAGAGAGGGAGCTCAGCTCTGGGAGCCACACCAACGACCCTGACGCCCAATGAAGTAAGACACTTCTGGCCACAAGAGTGCTCCCCAAAGTGTCCCAACAACAACAACAAAAAAAAAAAAAAAAAACCGGGACAGGAAGACTTGGGGAGTGGCTAAAAGGAGAAGAGGTTGGGGAGACTTTCCGAGGGGCCTGGATGCTTTGTTTCATGCAGCCCAGCCCCACTGAAACCTGGCACCAGACAACACGGTAGGGGGAAGGGAATGAAGGCAAGGGAGGGAGGAGGAGGAGCCTGGGATCAAGTTGCTCCCAGTGCCAGGCCTGCTGGCCTCCACAGCAAGGGGCGGGGGTCCTGTCTGCCAGGCAAACCTCGGGGGCAGATCAAACTGGGAGAGGCTGGGGCCTGAGGCCTGTGGGGGAGAGGGAGTGAGGAAGGGAAGCATGCCTGGGTTTTTTTCATCGCAAGCAGTTTACTGTCAGGCATCCCCAGGAAAAAAGCCCTTTTCTGTGGGGGTTAATGACCCAGCCCAGATAAATGGCAGTGTGGGTGTCCCCTCACACCACAGGGAGACCCCTACTTGCTCTTCCTAGGCTCCAGCCCCACACAGGACAGCGGGACACCTACCCTTGTTCCCACCTAGACTATTTCTGAGTACACATCAGCATCCTCAGTGCCCATCCCAGTGCACCAAACAACCTTGGCCCGAATACTGGCTGGTTAGGCTCACTTAAGGACCAGTTACCCGACTTGGGCCGCAGTCTCCTGACAAGGGTCAGGGTAGGTGCGTCTCTACTAGAGTTTCCCAGGACGCATGGACAGGGTCTTCGAAGTCTTGGTCACCATAGGAGGAGCGGGGAGAAAAGGACAGGAAACCCACCCCATTGCTCATATTCCCAACACCAACCCACTACACTTGTCAATTTCTCCCAGCATTATAACCTTTCCGGTGTTTTCAACCTTTCCTCCCCAGAAAACTGTACAGGGGCTTGTTTTCAAACTATGTGTGCTCATGCTAAAGCATCCGAAAGAAAAGCTACATTGTAAAAGGCTCGCTAATCAGATGTCTGCTCACAATTTTTTACTGCAGCTAAGGGAATTTTTGGAGCAATACCAGAAAAATGCTGAATCTGCCTAAAATTCCATTAAGGTATTTGCCCCTCCCCTTCCAGGGTTTCCTTAAGGTATAAAAATCTTCCCTTTAAGGGGAAAAGGGAATCGCGTACTGAGAAGGGGCAAGATTTACAGTGTCTGCAGTGGGAAGACCACTGAGCAAGGAGAGCTGCCGCCCCTGGTCACCAGTGAACACAGACAGACACTTGTCGACTCATGAATGACTCTCATACTTAGGGCCTCACTGGCACGGGGTAATTAGAACTCAAGGTCACAAGAACAGAAGAAATCTAACTTAAGGCCAGCCTGGTCTACAGAAAGAGCTCCAGGATAGCCAGGCCACACAGGTTTTTGAAACCATCTTGAAAAACCAAAACCAAAACTGTACATTTAGGCCGTCGAGATGGTCCACTAGGAAAAGGAGCTGGCAATCAAGATTGACAATCAAGTTTGATCCCTGAAACCCACATGGTGGCAGGGAGCAGGGAAGAACCAACGGAGCCCCCCCGCCCCCCGACTTCCTCAAGTACAGCATAGCATGTTGTAATATATCTATCCACACAATAGATCAATAAATAAGCTAAGAAATAAAACTTGAAGGTGTGAGAGACAAGGAAGAGCACACGGAAGGAAAGGCCGAATTTGTGGTCTCAGCTCACAAAGCCAACCATGAGACTATGAGGTCATCAGAAACATCAACGGGCTCCTGTCACAGACAGCCCCGACAACGGTATCCACACACATTTGGGTACCCTTCCTGTTTGGACTTACCGAGCAGGCGTTCATAGGCCATCATATCATACCCTTGGGCTCTGGCAAAGAAATATCACTTTATAAACACAGAACAGGTACCACTGATGGGGAGGGGTGTCCTAGAATTTGGACCTTTTGTGAGAGAAACAAGCTTGGACAAAATAAAGTCAGAATGGACAGAGTCAGAGGAACTAGCACTCACAAGGTTAATTGTGCCCCCAACTGCTTTGCAGATGGCAAAGGAGGGGGTCCTCACCCACTCTCACCTCCGGCTGGGATTATAAGGTTGGTATTTCTTTGCCAAAACCCAAGGGTTCGTGATGGCCTACGCGCGCCTGCTCAGTCAATTCAAACAGGAAGGGCGCCGAAGGAGCAACCCTGCTCCCAAAGGCCTTTCCAGGCAGGTCGGGGCAAACAAAGGGCAGGCGAGTAGACACAAAGGTTCAAGGCAGCCGTAAGGAACACAAACACTGACTACCAACGCCCTAGCAGTCACAGGTCAAGGGTCCTCCCTCCTCGGGACCCCACCCAGCAGTCGACCCAGCCAGTCTTTCTACACCAGATATCTCACAGATATCTCCCATTTAAAGCTGGCCATTCTGAGTTCACCTGAACCATTCCAGGACCAACAATAAACAAGAGGGGTCCAACACTCAGTCTAGGCTCATTTGCATCATAACAAGGAGGCAAAAGATCAAAGCCCACAGCCAAAAGGGAAAGCACTGGGGAGGAACGGTCAAAGGAAGTTATAGACCCTCCTTCAAGGCCAGGATACTCCCCATCAGATCCTTAGGTCCAATCAGCTGAATCCCTAACTAAAACTGACCTTCCTTAGGTTCCCCCCCCCCACCCAATGGCACATCCCAACTCTGGTGGGATAATTCCAAATTCATCCTAAAAACGGGTCTCCTTGTGCCAGCCTGAGTTATTATGACAATTTGATACAAAAGTGATAGGTAGCCCATCACATGGTATGCTACACACACCCAATCATCTTCTGACCCACAGTGGTAGCACACACGTTTAGTCCTAGCACGTGGGAGACAGAGACAGGCAGATCACTGACTTTGAGGTCAGCCTGAGTCTACAGAGTTCCAGTACAGCCAGGGCTACACTGAGAAACCCTGTCTCAAAAAAAAAAAAAAAAACAAAAAAGAAGCTGACCCATACATGCCTCGTGCCCAGACAATCACCCCAGTGGAGGACA